CACTTTTTTATCTACATTATAATTAAAAATTTATTTTGTAGTAGGATCTTTTACTTCACATTATAATTTGATGACAAATTTACTTTTATAGCTTAATTAGAAAGAAACCACATAGAAAAAAATTGTAGGCTTTATTAGGATGAAGAGAAGCATAAAGGATTTTTTGCTATAGCTTATACATATTTTAGGAAGAAATTTATTAAAAGCCATCATGATCTCATGCTGGGGTGGGAGGGTGGGTGGAAAGGAATATTGTGCTATTTTCCTTTCTAATGTTGTTTACCTCCTGCTATTTTACCAAATCAAATGCAATGCTGTACTTCTAGGTTAAATGCACAATCCAATGGAACTTCATAGAAACTTTATTTCTTCAAATTTAATACATGATAATTTAATAGTAACCAATAATAAAATCGGACAATCATAGCAGTATTACTGGAGAGAAGGCTCTGTGAATGTGGTTTCTGCCTCAAAATATGTAATTGCATGGAATCAACCATTTTTCTTGTTATGGCAATGTGAAAATAATATGCCTATGTGGTGAGATGAAGGAAAGGAATAATGGAGGCTCTGTGAAATGTTGTGAGGCGATGACATAGGGCCACTTAAATGAAGCAAGCCCTGTGATCCTGTGTCTGTCAAGCTAATAAGTAAAACAGCAAGCAGTGACTAATGAGAGAGTAGCATACATGGAAGCCCTGGGCTGAGAGACAAGTCATGTACCCACAGAGGAGTGGACAAAACACAGTTTGATTCATATACTCACAGAGGTACAATATGTAAAGACCTACGAATAACTGATCTCGGGAATTCTCAACTTAATATTTTCAGACTGCGCTTGACCAGGAAGGACTGAAACTGCAGCAAACGAGCACAGATGAAGGCAGACTGCTACCTCTGCTCTTCAGCTTAAACGGGAGCTACCTGCAGACATTTTCACTGTGAACAACGTAGCCTTCACTTTATCTGTGTGTGCATGTGTGCGCGTGCGTGCATGTGTGTGTGTGTGCATGTGTGTGTGTGTGTGTATGCTTGCTTGCATGTGTTTGGAGACCAGAATTTGAAGTGAGGTATCTCTCAATCACTATCCATCTTATTTTTTTTATTGAATATTTGCGTATTTCATACAGAACATCTCAGTCAGTCTTAATTATCTTGATACCCCCTTCCCCACTGGCACCCTGTTATAGCCCCCTCCCAGTGGAATTCATACATTCTGTCATTTGTCTTAAGGCATATTGTGTCAAGTTAGTGTTCCCAGATGTCCCTCTGTGCAAGTTCATCTACTGAGGTCTAGTCAGCCTATCTAGCATCTCTCACTTTAGGAAGAGTATCTCTTCCTCACCTAGCAGTAATCAGTTGTCAATATTTCTTCAGCTAAAATTGGGATCAGTTGTCCATTTCTCCAGTTCTAAGGTAGGTTTTTGTCTGTCTGAGTTTTCATGGGTCCTGTGCATGCTGACACCATTGCTGTAGGTTCATATGAGTGAGGTGCCAAGAGACTGTTTCCATACGGTCATGTACCTCCTCCCTGGCCCTTACAACCTTTCTCCCTCCTCTTCAGCAATGGTCCCTGAGCCATGGGTGGGTGTAGTTTAACACAGGAGTCCTGTCCAAGGACCACCATTCTGAAGACTCTTCATCTTGATATTTTGGCCACTGTGACCTTTTGTGTTCCTAGCCCTCAGCTGCATGAGGGAGCTGCATTAATGAGAACTGAGATACTCACTGTTGTCTTCTTTACCCCTTGTTTCATGTCCATCTTATTTTTTGAGAGAAGGTTTCTCACTGAACCTGGAACTCATGGATTTAGCTAGGCTAGCAGGCCAGAAAGTCCCTGGATTCTCCTGTCTCTGCCTCTCTAGTACTGGGATTACAGGCACATGCCACTATGCCTTGATTTTATGTGGAATCAGGGATTGAAATTCAGGTCTTCGTGCTTGCACAGCCACTGGAGTCATCTCCTCAGGTCTCTAACTATGCTTTTTAAAACACCCACAAATCATCATATTCCCCATTATAAGCCCCTCACATTACTGAGAGACTTAACAATAAGCCATCCCAACGTATACTGCACTAGCATGTTGATGCTAGCATGTTGACTATTGAAACTATAAGCACCTAAAAAGAGCCTTACAAAAAGATCTCAGACATCCACACAGCCTCATGAAAGCAGATATGCAGCGCCCACATGGATGTTTTGTCTCCAAAGATGAGGAGACAAGACCAAAAGAGATCCATACAGAGCTGGTTAAAATAACTGTTGTCTTTCGGTCTGTGTGCAGAATTTAGCTTCTTCTCCACAATTGAATGCTTTTTGTGAATCCAATATTTAAGTACCTAGCTCTAAGTGCTATTTTGGGGCTTCATATCTTTACAATGATCCTCGTGGTATGTAAAATTTATGCTAAGTAAATGTGGATGTTTTTCTCCTATTGACCTAGCTTATGTCTATGAATTCTTGGGCCTACTTGGGGATGGAGGTGGTGCCTGGCCACCTTCGCTGAGTTACCTGCTCTTCTACACACTGCAGCACTTCTTATAACTGTCTTCCCCCCTTTGGCACTGACCTCCTATTTGCTTGTCAGAGTGCTGTCTTGTGTGATCACAAAATATAGAACAGACCAAATATTCACTGAGTACCTCTTTGCCCAAAGAACTTCCATTTAGTCTCCAATGCATATATCTGACCTCAGATTTCTGGGATGTACAGTAGTAAAGTAGGAAGAAAAACTTCATGTAAATAATTAGCAATAATTAACTAAATGGTGTAAAGTGCCTGGCCGAAAGCAGAAATAATGGGGCATATGGACGTGAGGAATGGCAAAATGTAACCCAAGTGATCATTAAGTAAAGCCTGGCTGTCAGTCGTGTAGGTCTAGGCAAGGAGAGAGAACAAACAAAAAGCAGGATTCTAAGCAAAGGGACAAATGTAGAAAGTCTTGGAGGCTGAGGTGTAAGAATGTGGCAGAATTTTAGGGCAAGGAGCAAGAATAATGCATATCAGTGCTATAGGATGCAAACTCAGAATATTCCAAAAGGCCATGGCCACCACAGTGAGTACTGTGGCATTCTTCTCCAAGTAAAAGCTCAAGGTGCCGTCACCCAGCCCCAACCCCTTCAGCATGAGGCACATGGACTCCAGGTACTTCCTGGAGAGCCCCTGAGCCAAGCCCATGCCTCTCCACCCTTGCAGAACTGTGAGTAGACACAGCTGGAGCACAAGGTCAGTGCTAAGAGTGCTGGCACTCATCCTCCACAGTGCACACCGATTCAAAACTCCTTGCTGATTAGTCACATCCATTGTACTAAAATTTTGTTGTTGTTTGGAAGTTTCATAGGAGTTTTTCCTAGATCATTCTTTTCACCCAACCCAGTCTGAGGCTTTCCCTAGGGGTCTAGTTGAGCTGAGATATGATTGTTTGAGAGTCACTGATTTAATTCTGTATTATGGATACTATCAATTTCACATGAAATATTGGACTCACATAATTGCATTCCTACTTTTTAATACTTTCAGAAGTTGTTGGAAAATCAAAACAGTCGCAAAGATTCACATTTTTCCCCTAATATACTCAAAATCAGCTATATCTGGATAAAATAGATAGCTCTCAATTGGCTGTTTTCTGCTTTTACTAAACAAGTATTTAATTATAGCAATGTATTGTTGGAAATAACATGAAGCATTTGGTAGGGTTCAGCAAAGCTACACCAGAGATGAGAATTTCACTCAATTACTTTTGTTGTGTCTGCACATTGAGTTACTTGCCGATTATGATAGTTTACAAGGTTTTTCTTTAAAGAGAGAAAAGGATTTACTACCCCAACTTAGAAAATATATACTAGAGTAAATCTTGGAGGAAATTTATTACTGTGGATTCAATTCTTATTAGAATGGTTTCTCTCCCAGAGATACCATCCTGACAGATGTATATTCACCATGTGCTTTAAATAAGTCATCCATGTGGACTGAACCTAATCCTCATTCTCTCTAAAAGAGGAAGGGTGCACTCATCCTCTTTGGAAAATCCATTCAGGAGCGGATTATGGAAAGGTTCTGGTGATGGCAGGAAACAATGAGACAGCCCCCATCCTTCGTCTGTGCTGAGATGGGCACAAGGCTCCCGGTGGTGGTTGCCGGTGTCAAGGAAGCAGTCCGAAGACAAAGCACATTAATGTAAGTCAAGGGAACAAAGTAAGCAACTGCCCAAGCTGTGGCCGGAGGGTGCCCAACTGCACTAGAAATGATGTGGGGTTGACTCTTGTTTCCTGAGACTAGTGCTGTCAAGAGCATTTTAATATACAAGGGTGTTTTCCTTGGTATACAGTTATACAACTGATTATGCATCTTAGCTTACTGCCCTTGTTAGACCAAACAACAGAAATGTATTATTCAGTGCTTCAATAATCTTCTAGATGCTCATCAAATACCTAAAAGCAAATTTGGTACCAGTCCAACAGGTACCAAAAATATAAGAATTACAGGCTTGTACACTAACTAATTAAATTGAACATTTGGGTGATGGATGAAAATCATTACTTTAAAGAATATACAAATGCAAATCACTAGATTCTTCTCTAGCTAAAAGTAATAAAAGTGATATTTTATTTCATAAAGTTTGTGATGATAGCTCATGGGCCACATCAAGGGTATTATCTGTTTTCCACATTTAAAATTTAAACAGAAATATTACATAAACACATGTAGCTCTAAACTGGCAATTATGTACTAGGAATGACAAATCACTAATCACTTTGGGCAAGATGAGAGCTCTCAGGTGCTGTAACAAGGTTCAGTTCCAGCATTTATACCTTGCCACTATACAATGCTTGCATTTATGACCTTTCATGTCCATGCACTCATTCATGTCCTGCAGCTCAGTCTTCATACCCACAAAAAACCCCAGTTGAAATTAAAAAATAACAGAAGTAAAAAAATCTACATAGGATCTTTCATATCTTGATGATAAGTTTCTCCTCCTGGTGGGTGCACACCTTACCTGCAGGCCTTTCTCTTCTATCTTCTTTTGGAGCACTTTAAGGCATTTGGTGAAGTCAGTGTCGTCTTGGTCAGGAGTTGAAATAAGCTCACAACCCTAAGTGTCGAAGATAGAGGAAGTTAAAAGTAAGATTTCAGCCTAGGAACACAATCAAAGGCTATTGTCAGATGGACCCTCTGAGGCAGGTGTGACCTCGATCATCAGAATTGGTATCAAGAGCTATGGTTAGATGTACCCTCTGAGGCAGATGTGACCTTGATCCTGAGAATCATTATCAAGAGCTATGGTTAGATGTACCCTCTGAGGCAGATGTGACCTTGATCCTGAGAATCATTATCAAGAGCTATGGTTAGATGTACCCTCTGAGGCAGATGTGACCTTGATCCTGAGAATCGGTATCCCTGCACTTATACCATTTCATGTCACAGAAAAAGGTGCGTTAGGAACTGTGTGATATTGCTTCAAGTAGGAGCCATTTTCCTGAGAAAAGTACAAATTTTTAAAGATATTAACGTTACAATATTCAATATTACTGTGAGGACTTTGGACAGGTGCAATAAATTATGTTCACATCGAAATTACCTAAAATAAAATGAAGGTATTTCTTAAATTCTAGGTTTCTTAAAGAAGACTTCTTCACTTTTTTTTCATGATTGAGAAAGCTACCATTAATATTGAATTAATGATTACATTTTATATTTTAGGTAAAATCAGGTCTGTTGTTCTATAAAATTCCTTAGTAGTCCTACTTTCCCCATGTGAACAGCAGCAGCAAATTATTCCATCACACATATGTGCCTTAAATTGTCTTTCAGATGTAATGGGGTGAAATTCTAACTTCTTGGCCTTCTTTATAACAGTATCATACCATCTTCAAAACACAGAAGCAGATTCATCAGAGAACTCCAGGGGAGTGTCAGCTTGTGAGCTCTAACTTTAGAAGGCTAAAGACATTGTCCTTTTGAAAGGACACCCTCTCGTCCAAAATCCTACAGAGGCAAAGATGTATGAAACCAGACCACCAGGGGAATTCACCTTCTGAATATGGGAATGAAACAGTTCTTGGACTCTGACAAACAGCTGAGTAAGCTAAATATAATGTACTATATAAAGTTGCCATTCAAAGAGTTTTCAAGGATCTAAAACATCCATATGGCCTCTTAAATTATCCTTAGACCCATTCTAGATTTAAAAGTTCTTTGTTTAACCTCAGAGTCTCTTTAAATATGTCAAACTCAACCTGTGCATCATTAATTTATGACTTTCTACAATGGAGTGATTGATGAAAAAATTAATTTCTCATCATTCAGAAACATATTATGATTTAAAAGACATATATGTCATCTTTACAAGATTATAGACATATACTTTCTTAACCCTAAAAGAACAATGTGATTTTCTATAATCACCAAGCAAGAATGTAAAGAAGTGAATGGTCTAAAGTGGACATATCTACTACGGAAGGCAAGCTTGTCATACTGGCATTTTACTGGATGACAGATGAGGCTGCCACCAGGATACTGTTACAGTGAAAGTTCTCTGAGGGCTGTGTGTCCTTCTTTATTGCTCCCAGTGCTGATATCTGCCTGCTACACAGTTGTCAATAAATATATTAGTTATGTTTTATTGCCATAGGAAGACATTCTAATAAGTATTCTCAACATACATGCATTTATAAAAACTTTATAGAAATGTATGTTGGCAGTATGCTGGAACAGCATCTTCATGCTAATCATGCCACAGACAACAACTGGAAATTATCTTTCTTTTTAAAATGTCAACAGTGGACATGATCACACTAAAGGAAATAAACTGGAAGAGGCAAAAGAAATAGCAACAATAGATTAATAGATCTCAGTCAACCTTTCAAGTTATCATCACAAAATCAGCAGAGACCCACAGAGAGAATGACTACTGAGCAGGAGAGAATCTAGAGACACTGCAACATTATTTAGATTCAGGGAGGACAAAATTGACTTGTTGACACCTAGTTGGCTAAGCAGTAATTGTCAGCAAGGTCATCAATAGAAACACCTGGTTTCTTCCATGAAAAGGGTCAAATTCTTAAATATTTGAGGAAAAATCCTATATTATTTCTTAAATGTGCTCAGTGAGAATGGCTCTCCTCATAAAAAGCCACTTCATATAAATGATGAAGGATAGGATATCTTACTCGCCACTTGAAAGGGACCCACAGGAAAAGTCTAGGTCAAGACTTGGAGAGGAACTACCAACTCTGAAAAGCCAGCCAGTACCTAAACTGAGAACTTCTAGAAATCTTGGTTGAAATGTTTGACAGCTCTCTAACACCTTGAATTTTCATGGGTATAAGTGAATAAATCTCATCAGAGATTAAAAATGAAGTTACTCAAACTCCAGACAGTGCCAACACCCCAATAAGGCATCTTTTAACCTTAAAAAGACCTTCAAAATGAAATCTTAGCCAAAATGCAGTAGCAGGGATTTGGCCAAATAAAGAAGATTTCACTGTGGTTTGACTCTTATAGTAACACACTATGTCTAAGAGAGGAAAAGCAGAAGGTTAAAGATGAGAAATACAGGAAAGAATAAGATGCTTTCATAGTTACCTAGCAATTCTATCCTGTACTTTATAGAGATACTTGTTTATTACAAAGAATAAAATGGAACTTCCTGCACTTGGAAGCCCTGGAGCAATGACTATGTTCACTGGGTGTGGTCACCACCAGCGGCGGCTGCTCCTCCGTTCTCACGAGTGCCCTTCGTTCTCATGGGCGTCGAGGCTGCTCCTCTCCTCACCCTGGGCTGAGGCCGCTCTTCTGCTCACCTGGTGCTGCCTCCAATCCTTGCTGCTTCTGCCTGACCCCAGACCCCAGGGCTGGTGAGGAGACTGTGTCAGCGGAGCCACATTCAGACACAGAAGACCAGGTTCAGTGACACGGGTTTGCTTTATTGCAGGAAGGCACAAGCTCATATAGGGGTAGTGGTCCAACCACAGCACAGCAAGTAGTATACTTTATTAGCATAACAGGTTTAGCGTCCTATCACAGTACAGCAAGTAGGATACCTTATTAGCATAACAGACTTAGCGACCTAGCAGCATAACAGACTCAATGTCCTATCACAGAATAGCAGGTAGGATGCCTCATTAGCATACTGGGTTTCAGATTACAGAGCCTAGATTCCTGGAAACCACATGACCCTGACTGTTGCAATATCTAAGTGTGGCAATTTGGGATCTCAAGGGTGGTGACTAGGGAGTGGTGAGCTCTAGGCATCAGTCTCATGATCTGCCAATGGGAGCAAATGTCACAAGGCATTTCTTGTGGCTCCAGTGGTCGGGCCCTTGCTGTATGGATGTCAGTAAGACTTTCACCCTAGGCTCAAGCCTGTCTCCCACAACTGGGGTGGTGTCTTCTTTATTTAAAAGACCCTGACAAAACACTCAATATACCAAAACTTAGAAAAGAGAAAGGCCATGAAATTTAGCTATTAGAAAGACAGGAGTTTCTCATCAGAGGTTTGTAATATTTGTTCTGGATATAAATACATATATTGTCAGTCAAACTACACCAAACCTTCCAAAAACATAATCTTAAGACTCCACTCTGTGAATGGAAACTTTTAACTACTATCAATTTCTTTTTTCAAAAAGTTCAGTTTTTTTAAGACTCAAAGTATTATTTTATGAGCCAGCAGGTGGCTCCACTTTCATACTGAATATTCATATATGCAATTTTGTTACTTAAATATTTTAATGATTTAATTCTATTTAGTTCCTTTCATGAATTTTTTTAGCTGGATGATTTTCTTTTCTTTTGAAGGTATTTATTTATTTTTATTTATTTCTTGAAAAGTGAATTCACAAAATAGAAAGAAATATTGAAGAAAACCCAAGGTGAAATGAGATGGAATTGAAAACCTCAGTAAGTCAATTTAAAATGACAAAAGAAAGCCTCACAAGCAGAGCTAAAGAAATGGAAAACAGAATACCAAGACTGGATGGAAAAGTTGAAGAACTGGACTGCTCAAGCAAAGACTATGAAAAATTTTCATAAAAATACACAGGAATGGAATACTCAAAAAATGTAGGACACCATGAAAATACCAAATTTATGCATCATAGGCATATACGAAGGCAAAGAAATCTCAGGTCAATGTCATTGACCAGATCTTCAAAAGGTTGATAGGAGAAATTTCCCCAAATTGAGGAAAAACATACCTATACAGATACAAGAAGCACACAGAACACCAATTAGACATGACCAGAACAGAAACTCCCCATGGCATACAATAGTAAAACCACTAAATGTAAATATTTTATTTATTAGTTTTATTTTTTTATGTGTAGGGGTATTTTGTCTGCATGTATGTAAGTGCATCATGTGCACGCAATGCCTGTGAAGGCCAGAAGACAGTGTCAGGTCTTGAACTGGAGTTACAGACAGTTGTTACCTACCACGTGGGTGCTGAGAACTGAACCTGGGTCCTCTGGAAGAACAGCAAGTTCCGAACCACTGAGTCATCTCTCTAGACCCCCCTTTATTGTCTTATAAACTGATCTGAGTTGTACATTCTGGAATATAGAAAGGTCTTATATTTGAAAGAATATTCATCTACCATGTTATTTTCTCATATGCATTCCACTGATTCTGACTGCCAAATCATTTATGATATAGATATCAAGTAGTATAAACTATCCCTCTTAGTTTCAGGAGACACAGATGTGATAGAGAGGTAGTCTCTTGCTAGAATCCTATCAGGACAACAATGATAAGGCAGGTGAACCCAATGCCCTTTTTCAAACTTTAGTAATCTATCTGGCTCAGAGTTTCAGAATCTGAATAATAGTTCCTCATTACCACAAACATTTAGTAAATGCCTAAAGGCATAGATAATACCAAATGCAGTATGTATTATATTTCCTATACAATAATGTTTAACTTATAAATTAAGCATATTAACTGGTTAAAAATGACCAATGATCAAGCAGACTGTAACAGTATAGTAAAATAGAAATATGGGAATATGGCCTCTGTCCCTCTCAATAACCCACTGTAATGGATTCACAGTTTTCCCCATGTCAGGGTGAAGTGACATGATGCCTGTCTGTCATC